TTCACGTCTTTCCCTTTCCAAATTTATTTCACACCTATTCAATAAAGCTTGGTTTTCTTTTGCAAGGGAAAAAAACCCCCTCTGCATTGCATAGCGAAGGAGCCAATATTAAAGAATAACTAGTCAATGAATCAATCAATAGAGGGTCCAGTTCAATTTGGAGACTAGCATGTTCATAAGGAAGAAGTTCCAGGGATTTGAAAGGGAAGGAGAATCTCAGAGAGAAAGCAGAAAAGAAGAAGAAAAAAGAAAGACGCACTGCAAAACTGCTATACATTTAATCAGGGTCTCCTGAGGACAGATAGAACTTGGTGGTTAAATACTATCCCAGGCCCAGTTTCACTTTGTGGGATTTAGAAAAACTTGTTTGCTTAACACAGACTTCTTATAAATGATTTCCATTCCCAGAAGACACAGAAAAAGCTTTGCTACAGCTGCTACAGAAAGTTAGTATGTCGGAGCAGGCAGTTTTAAGGACTAGAGCCCGACACTGTAATCTTCAAATGAGAAAAATTAAGGCACAAGAAGGAAAATAAAGGATAAACTCCACTTCCATCCTCCTAAGGTTGGACTGGGTCTAAGAATTAAACGGACATAACATAGATTAATAGGAGAAAAGTGTAATACAGGTTTTACGTGGCATAAGAACCCTCATTAGGAAATGAAGCCCCAGAGAAGCAGAGCCAATTGATTTTATACTGCTTAAACAAAGAATAGTGTTTTATTCTGTTCTCTGTTGCTTAATAACTGAATACCCAAGGCTAGGTGATATATTAAAAATTTGGGTTTATTCAGTTCATGGTTTGGAGGTCACAGGTCCATGGGCTATATCCATGAAAGCCTTCTTGCTGGTGGGGACTCTCTGTGGAGTCTTGGTGTGACACAGAAGATCATGTGGTGGCCAGCAGGCAAGAACTGGTATGTATCCTTATGTGTCATTCCCTTTCCTTATAAACTCACCAAGACTCAATCTTGGGGGCCCCGCCCTTATGGCCTTAGTTCTAGTCTCCCAAAGGCCTCTCTTTACAACACCATAGTCAGATATGAAGTTTTCAGTCTCTTAATCCCATCACAACTAAATTTCAATACATGAATTTTTGGTATACATATGAATCATAGTGAATAATAAACTGAGGTATTGGGGGCTTAGGGCTTCAACAAATGGATTCTCTATAAACACAGTTTAGTCCATGACGGTCTAGAAAAATGGATTTCCGGGAGAAAAATTCTATCAGTCTGAGGTGAAATAGAAAATGTGATACATTAATAACAAAATATGATTACCCACTCTTTTCCTTCCCCCACTGCTCAAGGTATCAATACTTA